CTAAAGAATTTTAAAATGCCAAGACTAAAACTGGCACACGGTGAATGGCTTGATTCAGACAAGACACATATATTATATATTATAATAATGTACTGTATATATATTTAATAATATAAACAGCAGCTCAGAAATCCCTTCTATTTCACTTCTATGTAAAGATGTAGACACCCACAGCTATGATCAGGCTACATTTAGAAACTGCATCCTGATGCATCTGTGTGTGACATCGCAGCTTGTGTAAAAATTAAAAGAACATTCTTAGTATTATAAATGGTACTATGAATGGGTGAAGAACGTGCCGAGTCTTGCAAGCTATTTATTGGCGTATTTTAACTTACTGTGAGTTTCAAGCTAAAGTGAGAGGTTTGCAACGGTGTTCCGATATCAAGTCATATTTCTGTTGCCTTATGGGAGTAAATTGTTCCTGTGAGCAAAAAAAAGGTACAGTAATTTGCTTCTGGGTCTAAAACACAATACTAAAAGAAAACAACACAACCCTGACCTTTAGATAAACCGACCTCAAATGTGTGAGTTCAAATTGGATAATTCAAGGTTGTTACATAAAGCAGCTCCTTTTGACATGAGAAAGCTAAATAAATATACATCTTGGAGCTGACTTATTAATAACATATTTCACAACTTATAGCTTGCCTGCTATCTATTACCCCACTGTTACTTTCACAACAGTGGTTTGTTTTCAATTTGAAATTCCATAGAATGTCTTTGAAGTCTCTGGTCAGGGAAAAGAAGTGGAAAAAATAGGAAACAAAATTAGCCAATGAAATGCAACAAAGTTTTACTGACTTTCCTGACCCTACTATCGTGGGTGAAGATTGATTGTATGACTTTATAGAGAAATAACAGAGATGATTTTATGAAGAACACAATAATGAGACCTACCAGGTGATACCATAGGCTGCTGTTTTTCTTTCTCATATTAGAGGTTCACACGAAGACGGCAACAGGACCTGGTGTCTCTGCTGTTTCATTTCTATACCTGTTTCTTAATCTTCATGATCCTTAATCAGCCTTGTTTCTATGGTAAAACAGTCAAATTGTACCAGAACTCTGAATTTAACAAAACATTGAAAAAAAATGCTTTCACCACCAAACATGGTTTCTACACCTCAGATTGATGAGAACACAATGCTGCAACAACAGAAACTTAATCTACAGCGTCAGAATAATCTTCCTTAAATTACATTTTGCAACTTTCAGAACACCTAAACTGATCTTTAAGGTACTCTGCATTCCTGCTTTATTGCTTCCCAGTACATGTAGTATTTTGGCCGTCTATGTTTTCCCTTCTTATTAACAAATAGTAAAATATTTGATTTGATATGTATGTAAATTCAAATTAATTTTTGCTTTCTCGTGCATTTTTGTCCCTTAAGTTTGTAACTTTTCACTCCTTGGCAAGAATGACCAACAGCGGCATATGTAATTCAAACAGTGCAGCATTCCAACACTGGAAAATTTAGTTCGGTAGTTGGCAAGTACTGATCAGTTTCAAATACATCACCATTTATAGAACTAGCAACAGCCTCACACCAGGCGACGTGTAAATCATGTGGTGTTAGAAAGAAATCGTTTCTGGGCTTGAAGTATCTGTAAGATTTTGTTATTTCCTGTTTCTGCATTTTGTTTTACTAGATATTTATTTCGAGAAATATCCTATATGTATCTCTTACTCTGTGGTTCTGATATAAACGATTTGTGTTTGTGATATACTCCATTTCATTATTTAAATATTTCGTAAGGTAAATAACATATACAAGCCCCTAATCTGATTTTGTAATCGGTGAAATATGCCTCTCTTAGAAAGCTCTTTAATGCTGATGGTTTAATTCAGGATTCAGAGTTTAATTTTTTCAGGCAAACTGCATATTAACAAGCGTAAATTTTGAAACATTTGATGAGAATGAACAGGTCCTGCTGCCTAACATAGTTGTGCCAGCACTTAATATTCCAGTATTTTAAAAGTTAAGTTAAGTCTAAGAAACTGTGCTGATCTAGAGGACTGCCTTCTCCAGCCTTGATCCATGCCCAGATCAACACGTTCACCCTGGCACGTGTGACACTGGGGATTTCCCCCTTGGAGACTGGAAGATGGCCAGTCCCAGGTAGCTTTGGTTTCAGAGCCACAGAGCACCATGCCCCGAGTGTGGAAAATTCCACAGCGCTGAAAGGCTCAGCCTCCTGCCATAGGACAGTCACCCACTTTCAGTGACATCAAAGGATCCCTGTTACATACACAGCTGATACCAGTTAATCACATCACTTTAAAAATAATGATGACTTATTTTTGTTCAGAATTGGTTATTTAGTTTTTTTGTCCAGCTCGTTTGCTTTTTTATTGCTCTTCAGAACCTGAGAAAATCACCCTTATCCTGAATTACTGTTACCAGAACAGGGAATGGATTTTTAATGAGACTGATAGAAAACAAGCAAATTTGCTATTATTTTCACATGGACTTTTCACAGCATGAAGCAATCTGATGTGGCCTTTTCACCTTTCCCTTCTTCAGCTACATCAGGCCTGACAGTGTTCTCTATAGCCCTCTCTTTTTGTTAGCACTTAACTAAAGAATTTTTGCCCTCAGCAGACATTCAAGGTTTTTTAAATTCTTATGCCTTAATGATCTCTTCTTTGAGTTTTTATCCTTGCCAATGTGTCAGTTTAAATATCCATTAAGATAAACAGACTTTCTCCTTGATACACACCACAAAAATGCCCTAGTCCCTGATGAACCATTATGTTTTTCTTCTTTTTTCAGGGGAAGATGTACCGACAAAATAATAATAAACCACTTCACTTCTGGCTAAATGGTTTAGGAGTTTGTGAACTCAAAAGAATTCAATTCAGTCAAATGAATGACAAGCACTAAACTCTGCCTGACAAAGCTGGGACCTTTGAGCCATCGTTGTTAAGTCAATGTATAAACATGGTGATAACTTTTTTAAACTAACATGTTAACCTCTTTTCTAGTGTTTATACATCATAACTCCACCAAATGTATCCTAACACTTGAAAACCAAAATCCTTAGCGTTCATGCTTAGAAAATAACAAAAAAATACTACTGTTTTCCTGTTAACCTTTTAAAAAAACAGAGGAATTATAAAATGTGTCATTTCCAATTTGTTCAAACTTTAACGTGTATTTCATAAAATCAAAATTGACCACCAATGTTGAAAAAAACAAAGAAATTTAATTTGCCATAAAACTAAATTTGCCATCAAATGTAATTCCTGCAGAAGACAAAATTACCCAAATTCAAAGAAAGCAGCTTGCCTGTGTGGCATTAAGATAGCAACGTAACACATGACTCTCTTGACCTCAGAGCTGGGAACAGGTTTTTAGACTACCATAAATCACATATATTATCTGCTGTTAAACAAACATGTTATATACTTATTTTATACACGGTAAGTATTCAAATACTAAAAATGTAAATCATATCAAATCACAGAACACTACCACAAAACTTGTACAAAGTCTAAATCTTCCAGGGTAACCCTGTAAAACAAATCCCAATCTATCCAAACACGTTGCTGAAGCCAGCATCCTGGTTTCTCTCCACACATGAATGGATGAGATCCTTGGATCAATTAACTTCTAACCATCAAAGAGTCTTGCTCTGCTAAATGTCCTACTCTCCTTTGTAGCCTTTCTAATGATCTTAAAAACAGACCTTTGTTTTAAATGAGAGAACACAATTCCAACACAGTAGTGCCTACTGTCGGAGCTGCTACGTTTAGAGACGTAAACAACTGTCCTACTGAAAGGAACATCATTTATCCATGCATGTCAAAGACAACTGCTGTATGTCTCCTAGAAAGGACATTTGACATAACAGTGGTCTCCGGTTGAGCACCACAACATCTCAAAGCATGCATATATAGAGCACTGCTGTGTTTCTTTTGTTTGGTATTATTTTAATTTTTTTTAAAGTTTCTTAAACATTACAAACAAACTTTTTAAACAGCCCGTGACTGAAGACAAACTGAAACCACTAATAATCAAGGCACCAGTATATCTGCAGTCAACAGACGAGAGGACAAAGCAAATGTGACTGAAACAAATTAGAAACCCAGCAATGCTGCCAACATACAAAGAAAAGAAACTAAATGACTGTGCAAAACTCCCGAGAACATGGACTGGATGGCCAGTTCTCTTTTGGAAGGTCTGAGAAACTTTCTGCTCAAAACCACATTAATAATGGATAAATGCAAGCATTTTCAGGATTCTCAGAAACTTCTAACATACACTCTTAGCATGTCAAGGGGATTGCACGACTACTGCACCTCACTTTTAGCTCAATCACTTAAGATACAGAATTGTTAAATACAATATGTGTTTAAAATTAATTTTAAAAGATAAAAGATATTTTGATTACAAAACACACAAAAAGTAAAGATTTTAAGGAGCAAATTCAGTTAGAAGTGTGGCTCAACCATAGCCCTTATAAAAGTAACTGCAACCCAATTATCCTTGATCTACTCTAGGCTTAGTTATATTTCTAAAACGCTGATTTTAAAAAATAGATTCCCTTGCCAGTAAAAAGGTGAATCACTGTTTGTGACTGGAGGAAAATGTTTTCAAAGTGATCTTCCTAATATAAAGGAAACACTGTATAACCAATTGCATTGCGTTCTGACTGATATGATTCATAAAATGACCTCTACAATGACCAGTCTGTACAGTTTTTAATTCCTGGAAGCTCAGACTATGGACCACAATGGCCAGACTCTGTTTTAGTACCCAATCAGTTGGTAGCACTGAGATTTATAGGGGAATGGGGAGGCTCTGTGATTTTAAAAGGATCTTAAAACACTTTCCAGAACCTTTTCTGAATAATCAGATAAAAACGAAAAGACTTCCCATTCTCATAATTATCACTACCAAAAACACTGACCCTTTGCTCTAACCTATAGGGTTTTTTTTGTAAAATGTGTGGAACCGCCCCCACTTGCGTGTCTCGGTTTTCCTTCTCAAAAATGCACGACTACATGATTTGCCCTATTTTTTCTGTCGTTTAACAGGCGAAAAGGCTCTAATTTGCAGCTTGAGAACAAGGGAGTAAAGAGATTGTAAGACCATATTGATAAACTGTTGACTACGAGAAAGGTATGTCTTAAGCCTTATATACTTTTTTCTTTTTTCTCTCATTGTAAAACAAATCAAAGAAGGATTAGTTGGGGAATGCTACGGGGTTAATCAGGACCAACAAGGCACAAAACTATACTTGTGTTTTATGTCAAGGAAGGTAACAGTTTCTTCTAAAAATATCAAAGCTAGGCTCAGAGGTCAAACATTGGCCAGTAATTCACAAGGGAAATATAAAATCCTTCAAAACTAAACATTATTTGAAAGGGATTTCTAAAAGCTTACGATAAAGTGCATGCCACCATGTCTCTTGTGCACAAACAGAAATGGACCGACTTATAGGACCTATATGATTGAAGTTCCACAAAAGATAAGCTTTTATAGCCATAGTATCCAGTTTAATATAACCAATCATCAACATGTGGGTGTCTTCACACCTTTTATTCAAGGCTGACAGGCTTTTGCATTCATAAAGAAACTGGAAATAAACTACCTTCATCAGCAGCACTTGTTCATTTCAGGTTTTTCATCTGCAAAGATTGTTGTTTTTTCTCCCGAATAATGCTCAAAATGTATTTCATAGAAAATAATTTGTATTAGAAGAAACAGAAACCAAATCAATCGATTGTGGCTTGGTGTTAATCCGTCACTAGAAAACTACATACTGTAACTTCCAAAAGATTACATATTAATATTCTCAGCATAACATTCTGAACTATTTTCTTATAATTGTTTTGTAGCACACTATATTTTATGAGATTGAAACTATTTCACTGAAATGATTATGCTGACCAATTGAAATCCAGTTTAAGGACAATTCGGAAAGTTACAAGGTGTTTCAAATTCTGTGACACCATCAGCAATGCAGAGTAACTATTGGGTATTTATCGTTTTTAAAGTTAAATTGTTTTCTGGAGAATAACAATTGCTTTCTGTGGCGGGGTAACTTAGCAAACTATAATGATTGTTAATTCTTGAATACATTTAAAAGCTTTTTTTACAATTTTAAGCCAAAGTGAATTTATTGTGTTCTCATTTAGAAAGAAATGGGAGCATTTAAATGATGTATGAATTATAATATCAGAGTAATTCATACAATAAGAAGTGAAAGACAGTGAGCAAGTAATGTAAATATAACTAAAATCAGAATCTACGAAGAGCTGTGTGTTTTTTTTTTAATGTAAAAGGAGATTTATAAATCTAGGCACATATGTCGTTTACCAAGAAATAGTAATATAATATATGACTTTTTTTTTTCCAGTGCATGGGAGCACTGTGTATGGGAGACAAAAAAAAACGCTCATCTTACTTGATTTAAAAATTAGAGAAAAAAAAATTGAAATCATTTTTAATTGAAATCATTTGTGAGACTTGCAGCCCTGAACTGGATGACGCAGTTAGAAAATGGATAGCTGTGTCAGAAGCATCTAGTTGGCACCCACTAAACAGACATTTGTTTTTCCACACAGACAAAGTATACTGTCGTGCAGAAAGTACAGAAGCCTTCAGGTTGCATTTATGTACATTTAAAAAGTTCTGATTTCTCGCATTTTTTCTTCAGTTCTCAGTTGTATCTTGTCCTGTAACCCTTAGCTGTCCCAGTCTTTGGAAGTCTCTCACGTTCAAATTTATAATTTTGCAACGAAAATAAAGATACTGTAATTCAAATATTTTCGAGTGCTTAATTGAACGCATACAAATGTTTTGTTAAAACAGATAAATAAAACATATTTCTACTTTATTCATCATAACTTTTTTTTGCATCTTAAATCAACACTGTTAACTGAGCAATGCCATTATTACCAATGCTCTCTCTCCCATAAAAATGTTTACTGTGACAAAAGGGGGAAAAAAACTAATTTTCTTACCACAGCTTAGAAATCCTACGGGAAACATGTGAAACTTTATCATTAAAATAGATCTGTCATGCTATAACATTGTATGTTCTAAATATTCAAAAAACTGAGTTTTCCTCAAGTTTTTAATAACATTGTGTTATTCTTTTAAAGGTTTTATTTTAAGCTTTATGTAATCAATATGAATCTCAAAAAACAACGGAGTTGGTTCATTTCTATGCTTGCTGTTTTACCGTTCCGGCTACATACAGTACAGGCACGGCGTGGGAAGTGTAACTCGGCCAACTACACTGGCGAAGGTGCTGCTGGGCAGATGGTCCGGTGGGCCGAGATGAATGTTAACGGGCTCAAATATAAAAGAAGAAAAATAAAACAATTTTTTTTTGGGTTGACCACAAGTTAATACGAAAACAATTCAAAGTCTGTCAGTTATACAGAATCTAATAAAAACACAGGTCATGCTCATTAGTAGTCATGTACTGTAAGTGCATGATGCTGGGTGTAGACCTCATGTCTGACCCACGTGCCAGAGAATGCATTTACCCTTTCCGTTTTTTATTATTTATTTAAAGTGAGGGTGTGTTAAAGAATTAAGAAAACACAGCCCGATAAGACAAAGAAACTTTGTACTTGATCTTGCTCTACATACAAAAAAAAATACATGGTTTCTTTTTTAATTCTTGTTTATAGTGCAGCTTTGGTTAAGACAGGAAGCCGAACTTAACGACTTAAGACAAGGGAAGTCATTAGCCAAACACTGTCTCGTATTCTAACGCAAAATTGGCTCATTTACTGAAAACAGGGACAGAATTCCTAAAACCGAACAGAAATACTCCTGTAAATCGTTGACCTGTTACAGAATGGCTTAAAATCATTAAAACAGCGACCGCTATAACCTCGTTAGTGCAGATCGCATTACATGGCCAAGTACAGTTTTAACAATGTAAATAAACGTATAAACTGGATTTATAGAGAAATACATGCAATAAAAGTCCTTGATAATATTAAATATTATAATTAGAAGCAAGTTACTCGTTACTGTGCATATTTTAGAAACTGTGTCACAATAATGAATATTTTTCATCATAATGAATTATCTCAGGACATGTTAGTGTAATTTTTAGGTATGGAAGAAATCACAGCTTGATATTAACCACTCACCATTTCTTTCCTTGTCTACCCAGTATTTCCCGAAACCCGGGAAACTACTGCGCTATAACAAACAGTTATAAACAGTTACAAACATTTTAAACAGGACGATTGGTACACAGACATTGAAATAGGAGGATTATTTTTATTGCTTCCACCACATTTTTAAGGTGTTTAAGATCTATTATTCAAGCACACCCAAGTATTACTTTCAACAATTACCTGTGTTACAGTATGTAACGTCTATATTAAACTACGGGTGAGCTTATTCAACATGTACTGTTATTTACATTTTCTTTGACACTACTCAGAACACAAAATCAGCCTTATACAGATGAAATGAATTATTATAACTTCTAGCTGTGTGAATGAGGGAGGAGAGGGTAAAACATTTCTGCCTATTCTATGACTAAATGGATTTTTGTGACTCACTGAAAAACATAAATTAAACACAGTAAGTATTTAATACGAACTTTGGACATAATACTATTATGTTAGTTAATACTAAACTAATTAAGAGGCAACTAGCTGTGTGAATTGTACACAAAGAAACCCATTCTCAGGAAACCCATAAAGAAATCACAAGTCCTTTATCGCAAGTTAATCTATCATAACTTTCACTTTACTTGAACTGTCTTGCTTTGCAATGACGAGCAACAGAAAAGTATAGCACAGAAGATATTTTGCTGTTAAATACATGTAGATTGTTTTAGATACTGTACTATCTTGTGCCACAGATTGTGGCCAGCTTGTGTTTGTAATTCTTTTGTGTACAAGCTTTTTACGTTGGTACTGTAAATAGGGTCCACTTCAACTTCTCTTCAACCTGCCAAGCATGTTTCTTCAGAGCGCTACTTTTTTCTGACTGACAGAAAATTTATATCACCAGCTATTGCAGAACGCTCTTTGACATCTCAAGCAGATTATCTTATCCCTTGGGGTTTTACCAAAGATCTTCAATAATGCTTCAGCTGATACATATGTACTCCATTATAAACAGATTGTTGTCAAATGTACACAGCAAAGCAGTAAACTCTCTCAGAAATTTACAAATCCCCTTTTTTAACAGAATAAAGTAGAGAATATTAAGGAAAATATCCGCCTGGATTATAAGAAATACAAAAAGAATAATCTGGAAAGTACCATGTCGAGTAAGCAACATTTACTTTAAACAAGTTTCTATGTGTTAAGTTCTTATTGTTTTTTTATGTAAGCAAAGTTTATTATTTTGTAGAAACTAATCTGTGCTCTATAGCCCCATCAGCCAATAAACTGGTAATATTTCTTAATTATCAAGTTCTCTTTGCCTGAATGTTTTGATTGTGTTTCAATAACAAATTATATTCTTTCTTTAAAGTTTAAATGTCTCACAATGAATCTTCTGCATCTATCTTACAAGGACTTGGGTGTGTCTGGTATGTTAATATAATAGATTCTTGTATAAAGAAGGACTTCTTTGTGTGAGAAAGATGATGTGAGTTTATACACTGAATAATGCAGCAAAAAGAAACATCCAACGACCAGACAAAGCTACTGTACTATTAATGAAAAGTTATTCTAGCAGATTCATCATCAGTAAAGTAAAAGTTACAACAGAAATTATTGAATTAAGTTAATAAAAAATATTAAGCACATATAATATGTATTTATTCTAATTACATTGTAAAAGTAATTTTGCTACTGATCATATTAGAAAAATACATAGTTAAAATGGAAAATTTAAAAAAAATATTAGAGCAATCACCAACAAAAGTGTATATATGCCATATGTGTATGTAGGAAACTTACTGTATATGTTCTACATACACTATATTTTAGGTTTGTTTGTACATACTGTATGAAAGCTTCGAGTGGACAGCACTGCCAGTGTGGGAGTGCAAAGCAACACAGAAACTATTTGTCCTCACATGACAGCTTTATTGTGCTGTTTCATTTTGCAAGAATAATCTCAAATATTTCATATGACATTAAGTTCTGTTAAGTGCTCCTTTGCAGCATTCTCTGTGCTTTCTGTTCCTGAGGAATACACACTTACAGTACAGCGCTTATAGCACAACAGACTACACTCCGTGTACAGTGAAGTCTGGGGTCCATTTCTGTCTGGAAAGGGAATCAACTGCATTATCAAACTAAAGAAATGTTCGCTGTTGGCTGCAAACACTTCTGTACTATCTCCAGCACGTTTTTTAGATGTAAAAATCAAAACCTTTATAGTTCATAGCAGGCACATTTGTGGCTGTTTTGTGTTATAGATGAAGTTCTTTTTCTCATTAAAACCAGCAATCTCTGCTTTCAAGAGTAAATGCAGATGGAACAATTTGTTTTAAACTGTATCCTTTTTTTAGAATGTTAGGGAAATTTCCACATTTATTTACATGTCACGTAATATTTCTCCTGAATCCTGAAACCCCAGTCAAAGAATACATTTTTTAAAACTCTTGAGAATGTTGAATAAATGTAATGGAAAATAACTGCTACATTTTATCAAGATCTTGAAGCAAGCAAACCTTTTTTCCCAATTCAGACAAAAAATGATAGTTTTGTGTGCATTTTTACAACTCAGGCAAAGTAAATAAAATCCCTAAATCAACACTGACTAAAATGTGTTACCTTTGCTCAGGTTTTAAATTGTAATTCAAGAATGTTGTACTTTAGTCTAGATATATATGACTAACCTGATGCATCTCTGCAAATAAAAGATCAAAGTCACCCAGTTAAATGTTCAAAATAAATCAAAGTGGATGGCATCTGTTCCTCAGCTGTCTTGTCAGATGAATCGCACATCTGATATTCTGGTGGTAAACAAACCTGAGTGATTTGTACATTTTTACTGTCAAAATTCTAAAACACTGTGGCTAGATGGCAAGATATGATACATGCCTCAGTCTAGATGTTACAGAATGTATGCATCAACATTTCTTGCGTAAGAACATCTAGTTTTTAAACAAAGTGATACTTTGTATAAATCGTTGCTTTAGAAATCCAATACACACATCCGTTCTGAACCAATGTTAATCCTTCAAAAGCTGCAGTGGCTGGGAATAATATATTTTCAAAACATTTAAAGAGCAGTTACAGTCTTAGAAGGGAATATATATGTGGAAATAAAATGGAGAACTCATCTGTTTCAGTATTCTGCTATACATTTTTCTTAAGGATTATTTTCATGGAATATTATTTTAGCTTAAGTCACTAGAGTTAAAAGCAGAAATATGTCTCCTAACTAATAAATCATTTTTTACTTTTATCCTGCATTTAGCAATATACAGCAAGTCCTGATGAGACTCCAAATGTCCTTTTCAACGAGAAAGCTGCTATAGAAAAAGACCACTACAATATTAAATATCAGGATTAGTAGCAATAAGAATAAAAAATATCAAAAACAATTAATACATTTATTATCTCTTTGAATTATTTTAATGTTAAATTAATATAAAACAAGTAAAGGAATAACATTTTCATTAAGATCAAATAATTTAAGAACCTACATTAATTTATGCAACAAATCTTGGATGTAACCTTGCATCTTTCTATGTGCTTAAATCAACTTTTGATTACAAAGGGCATAAACACATTTTAAATCAATTCTGTCAGATCGCATTAAAAGGTTTTAAGTATTATTCCAGCATCAGGAGGCTTAGTTGGTCAAATATTTCTCCCAAATTCTGTGCAAGGCTTAGAAATTATTAAATGTAGCAATGAATGAGATATAAGGAAATAGTCATATCTGTAATTAACTAAATGCTACATTAAGACAGATGTATCCAATACCACTTTTGGAGCGTTTCAGAGACAACCTATTTCTGCTATTTATTTCCAGGCCTCTGCATTTTAACATGAGCTCCGTGACATTGCTCTGCTGCTTTGTGTTCAGCTCTGCTGGCTTGCTTGTGGCCTATGCGCACATGGTAATGGAACAGTCGAATGATTCGACGTCACCTAGCCTCCACGAGAACAACCAGCCAGACGTCCCACCCGTTGTCATAGTAGGTCAGTTGACAGAATCCAGAATTCCCGATCTCGGGATAACATGGGTTGGTTTTTGTTTCTCCATTGTGTGTGCCGGGGGGTGGGGAGGGTGTGAGTGTGACTGGCTGCTTATACAGTCAAGTTATAAGGTTTTTGCAGACTCCCAACTGCCTTTTAATGGATACAATAATATTTAAGTGCTTTTTTCATTCTATACTATTTTGTTAAGTGATTTTAAGAAAAAATATGCTATTACACATGGTCTCACCCAGTAAGAGTGTAATAGATCGACAGCCCATAATAAAACTTATTTGGATCCACAGCTGAGCCTAACTGCAGTGCGCTACTGCCTTGTGTAGCCCAGTTTGTAGCAAGCTGTGTAGAGCTGTGCCCCAACACGTCACTCCTGTGCTGCAGACTTCATCACAAGATGACAGAAATGAGCCGGCATGGTAGCAATGAATCAGTCGGGACTGAAGAGTTAAATATTCTGATGCTCTGACCGGGGCAGCAGGGCGGGGCAGTGGTTAGCACCCCTCGCAGTGCTGCAGCCCTGGGTTCAATTCCAGAGCTGGGGTGCTGTCTGTGTGGAGTCTGTATGTTCTCCCCGTGTTCACGTGGGTTTCCTCCAGGTGCTCCAGTTTCCTCCCACAGTCCACAGACATCCTGGTAGGTTAACCGGCTTCGCGGAAAACTGTCCCTGGTGTGAGTGTGTGTCTGCTCTGTCATGGACTGGCCTCATGCCCGGGGCGTACCCTGCTCTGTCACGGACTGGCTTCCTGCCCGGGGCGTACCCTGCTCTGTCGTGGACTGGCCTCCTGCCCGGGGCGTACCCTGCTCTGTCACGGACTGGC